GGGGAGAGAAGGGGAGAGAAGGGGAGAGAGGGGGGGAGAGAGAGAGATACTTGTTGTTACACTTATTTAAGCATTCATTGGTTGATTCTTATATGTGCCCTGACTGGAATCGAACCCACATCCTTGTTTAGGATGATGCTCTAAACAACTAAGCTACCCAGCCAGGGCCAAAATAGTTTTGTTTTTTTAAGGATGCACACAGCTATTCACTGACACGATTTGTAATGTAGGGTCAGGGGTGGAGGACAGACTCTCCCCACCACACACAAACCAACCCAACATTGCATCGATGGCTGAATACATCAGGATACATACACACAACTGAGTAAGTAACCTGCAGATATAAAAAGAACTGAGTAATTGCTCTAAATACTATTATGAAGTGATTTCTAGAATATACAGATTAAAGAAAAAAAGGCAAGACTGTATCATAAGCTATTCTCTCGCTAAATCAGATGGAAATATGAAGACATACTTACGTACATATATACAGGGTGTCCCCAAAAATGTATACACACACTATGTCTAGATTATATTACATTTTGAAAATAAAATGTATTTTCATAAATACTGCCTTTTAAAATATATATATTTTTATTGATTTCAGAGAGGAAGAGAGAGAAACATCAATGATGAGAAAGAATCATTAATCGGCTGCCTCCTGCATACCCTCTACTGGGGATCAAGCCTGCAACCCAGACATATGTCCTGACCAGGAATCGAACCATGACCTCCTAGTTTATAGGTAGACACTCAACCATTGAGCCACACTGGCCAGGCAACACTGTCTTTATAATTATTCAAAGTGTGCATACATATTTTTGGGACACCTTGTATATGTGAATATTTATTGAAAATATTTTGCTTTTAAACAATGCACATACTGAAAATCAAATTTAAAAAAATCAATGTGTAAAAGTTAAAAGCAAATGGGCCAAAATGTGCATTCATTAATAATATAACATAGAGAAATCCTAAGTGGCTTTGAACCAAAATAAAAATCAACTGTGCCCTGGCCAGTTTGGCTCAATTGGTTGAGAGCTTAATCCCTGATAGGGGACATGCAGGAGGCAGCGGATTGATGTTTCACTCTCACATTGATGCTTCTCTCTCTGTCCCTCTCCCTTTCCCTCTCTAAAAATCAATTTTTAAAAAAATTAACTGTTAGGAAAGTTCCTTACGAATAACCCAAAAGGCAAAGTATGAAATTTTTCTTAAATATTCTCAGAATTATATTGCTACTGGTATTGTATTCTGATACTTTGTATGTGACTATGGGATTCATCAAATCAATATTATATTGGAGTCACTGAGGTTTGATTTTCACATGGGAAAAAGGAGAAACAAATGTGAGACTGAAGATGTAAAAACTATGTCACCTGAATTCAAAGTGGAAGCATCAGTATAAAATCATGATGGAGTCCAGCTGGTGTGGCTCAGTGGTTGAGCGTTGCCTTATGAACCAGGAGGTTACAGTTTGATTCCCGGTCAGGGCACATGCTCGGTCAGGGCACATGCTCGGGTTGCACTTTTGATCCCCAGTAGGGGCTGTATAGGAGGAAGCCAATCAATGACTCGCTCTCACCATTGATGTTTCTATTTCTCCCTCTCCCTTCCTTTCTGAAATCAATAAAAATATATTAAAAAATAAAATAAAGACTATCTTTAAAAAATCATGTATTTTGTCTTAAAAAAACAAACAAACAACAATAAAAACACAAGACAAAACATGTATTTAGTCACAATAACTCCTTATGCAAAGCCAGTGAATACAAAATATCATTTCCCCGTAAAAGTAACATAGGGACTCCAGAGAGTTGGCTGACCCCAAGTCTTGACACAAAAGATACAAAAGCCTCATCTACCTTGTTGCACTAGAGAGCAAACAAGCCAATGAAAATTATAAGGGTCATAACAAGAGAACTCATAAGTAAACTCAGAGGCCACTTCATCAGTGAGGACAATAAGCACACCAAATATGTTTAAATCTAAAAAAAAAAAAAATCTGAATGGTCATTTTTGAAAGTTGCCAGAGAATCAATGCATTATTTTCAAAAACAGGTAATAAAAGCTAGAACCAAGCATTTATCATGCATTTTGTCAATGAGCTGTACCTCAGGGCAATGAAGATGAGGGCAAGCTTCTCTTTAAAGAAGTGTTTCAGCTAATAAATAGAAAACAGATTAACACAGAAACAGTACCTCTTCAACCCTTAATGAATAGAGTTCACCAATGAGCAGTAGCAGCTAGCATAAGAGACATAACAAATATTTTATATACTTATGCTCTCTCTCTCTCCACTGCTCCAAAATCAAATCCAATTCTATTGAAGCCTCTAGATCTAGCTACCAATTTGCAGGAAATACAGGGGACAGAGAATCATGTTAAACTACACTCAAGAATATACAGTAGCTAGCCAATTCAAAGATGGACAAAGGATTTGAATAGACATTTCTCCAAAGAGAATATGTGAATGGCCAATAAGCACAAGAACAGATCCTCAATTTCACTAGTCATTAGTGAAATGCAAATCAAAACTACAATGAGATTCCATGTAATGCATTCTTCATGTCAGTTCCTGCAGTCTTCATTTTTGACTGGTTCTTTTTTTCTTTTTTATCCTTGTTAAGTGGTGCATGACTGTATTTGCATGAATAATCAAAAAATTGAATAGCGGAAAAATGGCAGACTAGCTCCCAGTGAATCAATATTTGAGCAAGAAAGAGTGCTTGGACACTTATGACAACTAGCGGAGTGCTTAATAAAGGGAGAGGCAGCTGATCTTACCTAAGTGAGGGAAAAAAAAAACAAAACCAACAACAAACCAGTAGCTACCACTTCCATTCCTCAGTGGCCTGTGTTCTGGGAGTGGCTGCCTGGTGCTAAGGTAGGTTGTGTGAGGACTTTGTCCTTCAAATATGCTGGGTGTGTTGTGGTTAGTCTGGTGGATACCTGAGGGATCTGTGCTGATGTTTGCCTCAATTATGACCCTCTCTGAAGCAGCAGATTCCCAGGTGACACCTAAAACTTTAATCGGCCTAAAATAAGGAAATCTCACACTTTGCAAGAGCATGGATGGACCTGGAGACCATTACACTAAATTAAATAAGGCCAGTCAGAGAAAGACAAATACTATTGTGATTTCATTTCATTTATATGTGGAATCTAATGAATAAACCAGACTCAGAGACAGAGAACAGACTGACAGCTGTCAGAGAAGAGGGGTTGAGGCTGGGTGTACTAGTAAAAGGTAAAGGGATTGAGCAATAAACACAGAAAACTGGTGATTTCCAGAGGGAAAGGGGAAGTGGGGGAGGTAGAAAAGGGTAAAGGAGGGATAAATGGAGATGTTAGGAAACTTGGCCTGGGGTGGTAAACACACAATACAATATACTGATGATGGATTATAGAATTTTACTTCATGAAACCTATATAATTTTATTAACCAATGTCACCCCAATAAATTCAAAAAACCCTAACTAAGAGACAGAACCCTTCACCACCACCATTACCCTATTTGGAGCCAGACATTTATGGAAATCTTTGTCAGATCTCAGGCTGAATGTAGATAGAGATAATGGAATAGAAATTTCAGTGACCACAACAAGGAATACACACTTTGCAAAAACAGTTTGGAAAAGTCACAGGCCTTTAACAAGCAAAACATCACTAATACCTGAGGAGTAGAAGAATCAGATTTCCAGAGTTAACATCTTATAAATACTTAGAATATCCAGTTTTCAACAAAAAATTACAAAACATACAAAGAAAGAAAAAACTATAGTGATTCACAGGGGGGGGAAAGTTATAAAAATTATCCCGAGAAAGTCCAGACATTGGCATTACTGGTCAAAGATGTTAAATTTTAAATGTGCTCAATGAGCTAATGAAAACTATGGACAAACCTAACAGTAATTAGGAAAAAGATATACAAATAAAATGCTAAAAAGGAATCAGAAATGCTAATGAGACTTATTAGCTAATAAGAAATGCTAATGAGACTTATTCAGATGAAATGAAGCCAGACAGTAACTCAAAGCCATAAGAAGAAATAAGGAACATTACTAAGGATAATCACTTAGGTAAAGACAAATAAAAGTTACTGTATTTGTTATGTAAGTCCTCTTTTTTCCTCATATGATTTAAAATGGAAATAAGACAATATAAACTGATATCAATGGGCACAAATATATAAAGATGTAATCTGTGAAAGTAAAAAATATAAAGGGGAAGGGACAAAGAAGTATAGGAGCAGAGTATTTGTACACTATTCAATTGACGTTGTTATAAATTTAAGATGTTAACTGTAACCCCTCACAGCGGTTCTCAACCTGTGGGTCGCGAACAATGAAAATACATCCT